GTGTGCGTGACTTTCGCCCATGGGCGCGTGGTTTGGCGGGAAAATTGTTCACTGAACAGCTAGCCATTTTCAAACAACGGCAGGGCCGTTAAACGGAAATTGTTCATTTTCCTTCACGCAAAACCTGCAATGAATTTACGTTAATGAGTACACGAGGAAAATGTAAAGCAACAACCACTCGTACAGTTAACAGCCTGACTGCTTCTAGTTCAGTAAAAGAACACGCGATTGCACCGGCAAACTTGGTGCATTCCAACCCGGCTTTAGCATTGTTTAGTATCTTTCTAACGATTGGTCAAATTTTGCATTTTTTCGACCAATTTTTGCCTTATTTCTCCCTCCCTCCCTCCTCCCTCCCTGATGATTTTTATGTTTAATAATAGATGTTAAGTTCGTTATTAGGTTTGAGCAGAACTATAAACACTATTTAATAAAAAGCACATGTGATTTTGGCACCGCATGATTGAAAAAGGAAGCCCTACTGTTAGCTTTAGGATTGCAAAGAAACCACTTCATCTCATGGATTTGTTTTAATTTTAAGAAGAAATTGCCACTTTTTCTTACCAGGCAGTAGAAAAAGTTTGGCATTCTTGCCGTGCTAACAGTTCTTTCTCTATAAGTTTCTTACATCTTAAAATTTATAGTTGGCTGGAATTGAAAATTAGGTCTATCCACGCGCTTTACACATAGAGCTTGGAACGCAAAATCTGTTCAGATGTTTGCTTCTAATACTATTTTTTTAGTTGGTGGAGTTGTGTGGCGCGAAATAAAGATTCTTTGCTTCACGAGCGTAGTTGAAGTGATCAATCTATCGGAAAATCATATGTAAGTTTTATTACAGTTTACATTATTTTTCGATGGTCAAGAAAAGTGCATACTTATATAACTATTTAATGCCGCTAAAGTTTTATTGAAGTATTACATAGTAATGGCACTAAGGCAGGGATAAATGAAAATTACAACCTTTAGCAGTTGATTGTTGCTAGGGCTGCATATCTCCAGTTAGTACCCATCGCTTGTTCAGTGCCAGTGTTCCATCGCTTCGAGAGTCGCCCAAGTGGTCGTTTACTTTCTCGTGGGTACCATTCCCTGATACTCGTTGTCCACCGATTGTCTATGTCCGGCAAACAGTATTTTTAAAATCTCACGTTTGAAAAATTGAAAAAACATTACTTAGTTTTAGCATTTTCCGTGAATATTGACTTTTTCACGTCGTCTTTCTCCTGAATTCTGGAAGATGCGTGTGGTCGCATTTATGTCAGATTCTGTTTCAGCCCCTTTTACGTGAAGTGCGACGTACGTGTGGTTGCGTTCAGGACATTTTTTGGCACAGTGCGTTTTGAAGCGAACGGCTGAAACGTGATGGTATCACAGTTGGTTACCTATACGCTACATCTCACTCCACTGGTTGTTGTCTGGATTGCCCTGTTGTACAACTGGCTACCATATACGTCGAGTTTCACGGAAAATCATTATCAGTTGATTCTTTATCTGCCCGTTTATGTGATTTTTTTGCTGGGAATCTACGCGGTCTGTACGGTCCTCTACGGTGTTGCAACATTCAACGATTGCACCGGTGCACGTGTGGAGCTGACGAGGGAAATTGAGGAAGCAAAAGCAGATCTGCGGAGAAGAAAAGTGATTGAGTGATGATTTTGAGATCAACCG